AAGTCTAACTAAAATTAAATGAGTTATTATGAACTATAGTAAGTTTTATGGCCAATCAACTTGGTCAGCAACAAAATATAGAAAAAAATATAATTTTAGACACTGGCACATTCTGTGCATGGTTCACGCAACTACGTTATTGAAAAAAAAAAAATGGCGACAGCTGGTCCATATGGATGGGATGTCTTCAGTATCCAATAGTCAGTGTTAAATGTAGTGGTAGTACTACTTACTGCAACTGCACGATAGCTTTTTGTTGATTACTTAATCCAATGTAACACGAAATTGGGAAAAAATATGCTTATTGATTTGATTCACTTTTGGTTGACTTCTAGTAAACCGACAGAGTTCGTAATCAAAGACGAAACTTTTTTACTATAGTGAGATGTTCAGTTGAGATGTTTAGTGAGATATGCACGTCATTTTATCACTTTGCACAGCTTACCATCCCTTGCTATTCGACAAGGCAACACATGGCTTGAATCGATTCACGGGGAGAAATTATGTTCTTATAATACTCTTCCACAATTCGTACTGTTAGACGTTTGGAAATAATTCAATGCATTTGAACATTAGCTATAGATTCTTTACTTAATCAATAGTTATTGTTTTGTGAGAAGGTGAAATACTACAAAATTTGATCATGAGAATATGAGGTTAAAATGCAAACGATGAACCATGTAATGAACCCTTTAAGAAATTTACTCGGTGGATTAGCTCAACTACACAATCCAGATGAAGCAGCCTAAATTAGCTTAGCGTACTAAATTTGACTTTGTAACGACAGGGCTAATGTTTCTATAAGTGGTTTTTTTTTTATGTATACAAGACTTAAATGAAGATTTTTAGAACCACTAATACATAGGGTTAGTAAATGATACCCATTCATAATGGCTTTATAACATCTTAACATTTTGTACATTTAAACATGAAGTGTTTTTGAAGAAATTAATTAAATACTGTATTAGAGGAAACACCATTTTAAATTTATAGCAAAATGTGTATCAGTGAAGAGTAAATCCAGTATACCTTTGAAGTGGTTTAAATTATCCATGATGCTGGTATTCATAAAGAGAATACAAAACAGCTTGGTTATCTCCTTTATACACTTGGATTCACAATTCATTTTCATATTTTGTTATAAATGTACTAAAAATAACTCGAGCTTTTCTTGTTAACATACGTTTGTAGTCCATTAAATTTTCCTACAAGAAAATTGTGATTTTTACTATAGAGTAAATTTCCTTTAAAACAAATCCTAGTGTGCACGTACACAATTTTAACTTAGGTCAAATTTATTATAACACATCGTTATCTTCATTACCCTACCTTACATCGATCATCAATGTCTTCGAGGTTAAGATTGACATTATTATCTTCACTACCCTATCTTACATCGCTCATCAATATATTCGATGTTATATCGATTGACATCATTATCTTCATTACCATATCTTACATCGACATCATTATCTTATCGATTAAATATCAACATTGCAATTTACAGTAATCAATCAAATGTTTTTTATTGAACTCTACAACTTTTTTGCTGTTATTACGACCACTTTTCATGCATTTATCGTAAACTTTTCTAAAACTTGAATGTTTTGACGGATGTAATTTAGAGATGCACAACAGGAGATTATGAACGCTATTGCGAACTCACGAACAGCACAAACACCTGCGCATGACGCAAATGGATGTTTACCTACCACATGTGGACCTATGTCGTATGATGAACGGTTTCGAGCTCTGTTACATATTTACCAACTACATCTCTCAAAGGAGATATAGGAGCTATATGATAGTACAATATCGACGTATTGTTGACAACAATGTAAACAGCTGATCTAATATTGTAGTGTTTTGTTCTAATAACAGGATGACCAGAAACGAGGTATATTAGATTACATTTCTATAATTAAATATTAAATGTTTATGTGTGTTTCGTGTTGGTGACGTTTGAAGGCACTAATTTCGAAGGGATATCTTTAGCTTAGTATTGGATAAATTATGTTGTGTTTTATTCTTTGGATAAGGTACCACAGAAGTAGAAATAGTTTGTAAAATATATTGATTTATTTAGACAAAACAGTAAACAAATGTTAAATGTAAATGAGGAAACAGTAATCCACGAAACCCTGTTCACATAAACTCGTTTGTACAGAAATTCGGTTTGTATCTGATGAACTTAAAATAAATTATTTTATTTAGTATACATTTTTGTTTTTAAGGGAAAGTTGATCTTGCTAAAAATACCCTCAATTAATTTGAAGAGTTTGGTTTGTAGGTTTGTAGGTTGGTTAGGATTTACCAATATAGTAAAGTGATAAGTGACTTTGATGGACATAATAAATTAACAAGTAAGTATCAATTAGTGGGAATAAGTTTTACCAAAATTACTTGTAATAATCATCATTTGAGTACAGCACTGTAAAATTAGGTAAGATTACCCTAAAACTTTAACGAAATCTTTGAACTCCCATTTCAAATGCACTAAAGATTCAATGAACTGGAACTAAACTCGTAACACAGTTTGTACCACGCTCTGGTGTGGGAGTACAAACTTGTACGTCTCCTTATCTCGTGCATCCTTATCATTATCATTGAGTTACGACTAGGAAAGACCTCGAGCCCAAGTTTGTCATTCATTACGCTCCGTAAATCACACAAACATTGTGTGAAAACTGCACGAGTTGCAGCAAATTTCACGAATCGTAAATAATATACGTTTGCAAAAATGTCACGAATTGCCAATAACTGTTATTTAGATTTCATGAAGTATTTATTCCGTTCCTATGAAAAGGTAGTTTCCAGTGAATCTCCACATAGGATTCTTCCGGAATCTTGTAACTATAAAAACCATGTCATCTAATCTCCTTTAACTATCATAGTATGAACAATTTAAATAGAAGATAGAATAATACCAGTTCATTTTATGAGTAACCATTTTTGAACTATTTTTCATTGAGAAAAACAAATGGTTCAACTCGTCTTTGAGTGCTTTAACATCTTGATCCGTCCCGTTTGAAACTTCTGCCTTCCCTTGCTAATTCCTGAGCACGTTTTCCGTAAATTTTCAAAAGAGCAGACCATGTATTGGACAATTTGTTGGCTTTTGAACATCTCGGTGTATAATTTAGGTCTCCAGATAGAAAAACCAGCTTGGCAGCCCGGTAGCCCAAGTTTGCAATCCTGTCTTCATACTACCTGGCTGAAAAGTTGTCTAGTTTTCGTAAACACCTCGGGAATTAGTGGACCTTCTTAATACAGTTCATACTAAGAGACTTCTCACTCCCTAAGATTGCTTGACAAATTATTGATCCCTAAACATGTCAGTCCAACAATCAATGAGCCCTCATACTTTACAAACTCCCATTTTACTTTCTGCTCTAGGTACGCAAAAGTAATTGAAACGTTTAATCGACACGTAACCGACTTTCCACCGACGCAGCAACCGCAGTTGTATAACGGAATTTGGTCTGTTGGAATATTGGGCAAGAGCCACAGAGCGGGTTCACTGCACAGGAGTTCATTAACCTGAACTGATAACAGACCGGCTACCTGTCTAGCCCTTATCAGTGTGAACCGTTCATTGATAAGATGTACAGGATGTACAGTGTGAAGAAATTTCACATGAAGGAGGGGAATCTTCAGTATATGCTCTTCAGCTGTAGCTGGTCTATTGGGTGAAGCGCCGAATTTCTATACTAAAGTCACAGGATCAAAACTAGCCAATTGCCAATGATTTTAGGCCATGCCACTTGGGAGGTCATCTGTGATGATGAACTGTGAGGATCGTGTTTTCATTTCACCTAAATCCTAAGGTCTACATATCTAGAAAAAAGTATTTTGGGTGATAACTGTACCAGCATTGGTGATAAATAATTGTACACTACTGGGTTTTTATGCAGAATGATGCATTTTTTGGAGGGGTGCAAGATAAATCGAAATTGAAAGTAAAGTTTCCGTGGAATTTACGTTTCAATAAAAAACATTTACCATGTGCAAAATTAGGTCGAAACAACACGCATAAACCCGCATTTACCCAAATAAAACATTAAAATGTGTGAGATGGTGTAACTGGATGCCTATATCTATTGCCAAATATCGTACAAACAAACCGTATCAAAATACAAGACTCGTCATCGGTTAACAAATATGTAAAAAAAAAACTGCACATAATTCTCCGCCATGATTTGAAATGATAAATGTTCATGTGCCATTATAACACTGATAACGCTCCAAGGGAAGTCATTTGCTCAATATCTCACTCAAACTGATCGTCTAAATCATGCAATCAATTTGTTAACGGATTATACCAAAGTAATATTACTACGTTGGTAATTTACTGCCGAGTAATTATAATATTTATAGTGCCTAAATGACTGAGGAATTCAAATAATTGGTGATGTTTATGAAGATTGATTGTATGTTTAGTTCTGCAGTACTTGAAATGTTAAGTCTTAAGGAACGAAAATGATCACACAACTGTTAACCAAAGAATTCCTGAATTAGCTTCTGAAAAATCTCAAAAACTGTGTTAAAAATTAGTTCCTTTGGGACGCGTAGTGTTAAATTCCTAAAATCTGCTTAGTCTCCTTCCTGTTAAACATACGAGGTCTTTATGAGAATTAGCATCAAACTATTGTTTTACAAGTCAATAGGGTTTCCTTGTTTCTATTAGAAATTATCCGTTAAATATTCTTTAGTTTTATAGGGACATAGAGGGAAGTATAACTTACCAAATCAAAAGCTAGAAAAGACTATGTATATGAAACTTTATTTTACCATGTATTTGATTTGTCTAAAATATTATCTGAAAGCAGTATTGTATGTTTTATTTTAGTTTTCAGATTTCCTGGACTTGGCCATCAACTAAAAAAATAATAAATCGCCGTTAAAATAATAAAAGAATCATAAGTTAACGCAAAACATATTCGAAAGAAGCTACCTATTCATCCAAAATAACACTTTTTACAAAATAATAAACTCTTTACCTGAAGTGTTTGTAAAATCTTCAATGAGCAAAACTTCTGTAATCCCCTGAAACAAGAAAACCAAGTTAGAAACTTTCAAAGGGAAGAAAACATACTGATTCGCAAATCGATTGGAAATCGAAGCAGTATGGCGATTGGTCGGTAGTTTGTTTGGCTCATATTGACTCCCGTTGTTGACTTTCGGCAAGATTGACACTAGGAGGTTCTTTGCCGAAGTGTTTGGTCTGTTTCCATGGATACGGCGACCTTGGGGGTGATAATACGAGCGATAACAATATCAAGCCAGGTGTAAATGTTTAGGTTAGTATTATTAGGACTTCTTTCACAATATTGAAGTGGTTTCCTTGGGTAGAAGTACAAAAGAAATGATACCTTGTGCTTTTTAACGGATTGCTTTGTGACATTTATTGAACTGTGTGCAAGGTTGTAATTTTAGTGTATTTAATGGGTTGAACGAGTTTTGCAATGTTTGGAAATTGAATTTTCAATACAAGCTTTGCACCATATATACAATGCACCATATAACTTTCGTCTTTGGATTATTGTTAGGCTCAAAACTATATTGACGGGGTTCTATAGTCAATAATAGTTCCTTAGTTTAATTTTTTTTTGGGGGGCTATATTTAAAAGATTAAAATGTATATTAGTGTATACACTCATATTTGGTAAAGTACAAAATTTACTTGATTGTCTATGCACAAACATGAAACGGATTAATACTTTTATTCCCTAGAGATTACAATTTTGCGTTCAATTAAGTGGAGAACTAAATAATTTTACCATAGCAAGGTAAGGTAACTGGTGTTAAAGGGAACTAACATAAGTTTAAGGTTTCAAACTGAACATATACATTCTGTAAACAACTATTTAGAAAATATTTTCCTCTAATGAATAATAGCTTTGACATTAATAAGCTTATTCATCATTGCCTCCAGGATTGATTATTGACACTATAAATAGGTTACATACCTAGTCTCAAAAAAGTCTCACGACAGGTACCGGGTACGTAGTCAGGGGGCTTCGGCTCTCATGACAAAGAATAATAATAATAATAATAATAATTGAGCGGAGCGAGCGAAGCGAGCGAAGCTCTTATACGTCGACTCTTATGCATTTCGTAATACGCAAACTCCTCCTAGACGGCTGAATCGATCGTTTTCAAATTTTGCATGGTGATAAAGACCATATCGGTGAGTGCCAACATCTATATGGCGTTAAAAAAGTCTCTCAGGAATCCGCCCCACTGGGTCTCAAAGTTTCAATGTAATCCTTATGGAAGCAGTATTTGACACATAAACAAAAACACAGATTCATCAACACAACAGGATGATCAGCTGTTTACTTTTGAATGCAGTAGATAAAATAGCTGATAGCATTATTCCACAGATATTAGAACAGAAACGGTATGGATCATAATTATAATCAAATGACGACACTAGCTTGAGGTCCGTGACGTATAAAGTGGTGAAGGAAGTATTAAAGGTGAGCAGTCTGGAGTGTGGAAACTGTTTATGACGATTAGATTAAGGTATCTGAATTCCTAAAATTCTATAGGAAGGGAGGAAAACAGGTCCGCGACGTAGGAAGTGGTGAAGGAAGTAGTAAAGGCGAGCAGTCTGGAGTGTGGAAACTGTTTATGACGATTAGATTAAGGTATCTGCATTCCTAAAATGCTATGGGAAGGGAGGAAAACAGGTCCGCGACGTAGGAAGTGGTGAACGAAGTAGTCAAGACGAGAAGTCCGGAGTATGGGAACTGTTTATGACAATTAGACTAAGGTATCTGCAATCCTAAAATGCTATGGGAATGGAGGAAAACAGGTCCACGACGTAGGAAGTGGTGAAGGAAGTAGTAAAGGCGAGCAGACTGGAGTATGGAAACTGTTTATGACGATAAGATTAAGGTATCTGCATTCCTAAAATGCTATGGGAAGGGAGGAAAACAGGTCCGCGACGTAGAAAGTGGTGAAGGAAGTAGTAAAGGCTAGCAGTCTGGAGTGTGGAAACTGTTTATGCAATTAGATTAAGGTATGTGCATTCATAAAATGCTATGGGAAGGGAGGAAAACAGGTCCGCGACGTAGGAAGTGGTGAAGGAAGTAGTAAAGGCAAGCAGTCTGGAGTGTGGAAACTGTTTATGACGATTAGATTAAGGTATCTGCATTCCTAAAATTCTATGGGAAGGGGGGAAAACAGGTCCGCGACGTAGAAAGTGGTGAAGGAAGTAGTAAAGGCGAGCAGTCTGGAGTGTGGAAACTGTTTATGATGATTAGATTAAGGTATCAGCATTCCTAAAATGCTATGGGAAGGGAGGAAAACAGGTCCGCGACGTAGGAAGTGGTGAAGGAAGTAGTCAAGGCGAGATGTCCGGAGTGTGGGAACTGTTTATGACAATTAGATTAAGGTATCTACAATCCTAATATGCTAGGGGAAGGGAGGAAAACAGGTCCGCGACGTAGGAAGTGGCAAAGGAAGTAGTAAAGGCTAGCTGCTTGGGGTGTGGGATATGTTTGTGACGATTAGATTAAGGTATCTTCAATCCTAAAATGCAATTGGAAGGGAAGGAAACAGGTCCGTGACGTAGGAAGTGGCGAAGGAAGTAGTAAAGGCGACCTGCTCGGGGTGTGGGATCTGTTTGTGACCATTAGATTAAGATATTTGCAATCCTAAAATGCTAGGGGAAGGGAGGAAAACAGGTCCGTGACGTAGGAAGAGGTGAAGGAAGTAGTCATGGCGAGCTGTCCGGAGCGTGGGAACTGGAAACCGTTTGCAGCAGTTTTAATGTATCTGCAATGATGAAATGCTATGAGAAGGGATGGAAGCATGCTCACGACATAGGAAATGGTGAAAGAAGTAGTAAAGGCTAGCAGTACGGAGTGTGGGAATGTTTGTGGCAATTAGATTAAGGTATCTTAAAATACTAAAATGCTATGGAAAGTGATGAATACAGGTCCACGACATAGGAAGTGGCTTAAGAAGTAGTAAAGTATGAACATCAGCATAGTGTGAGATTCGTCTGTGGCAGTTAGATTAATATATCTTCAATACTAAAATGAAAATGCTATGAAAAGGGAAGGAAACAGGAAAACAGGCCCCATGACGTAGGAAGTGGTAAAGGCTGGCAGTGCAGAGTGGGGGAACCGTTTGGGCAGTTAGATAAATGAATCTGTAATACTTAAATGCTATGAGAAAGGAAGGAAACAGGTCTGTGACGTAGTAAATGGTAGTAAGGCTAGCAGTGCAGAGTGTGGGAACAGTCTTTGGCAATTACATCAATGTATCTGCAATCCTAAAATGCTATGGGAAGAGAGGGAAACAGGTCCACGACGTAGGGTGTGGTGAAGGAAGTAGTAAAGGTGAGCAGTGTCGAGTTTGGGAATGGATTAATGTATCTGCAATGCTAAAATGCTACATGAAGAGCCTGTAGACTGTATGTTAAAATGATTACGAAGCACGAATCGATACATATTTTCGTTACATGCAATCGTTTACAATCTAAATTTACAAACTGAGTTGACAACAGCTGATTTTTACTAAATAGAGGCTAAAAACGATTTTTACTCTCTAAATAAAAAAAAATGCTACTTTAGACCCGCAACGCATGCATTAAAAACTACTATTTTTACTGCAGTATGACAAAAACAATATAATATGAACCCTTGATGACTCCGCTCAATTTTGTGGATGCCTCTGCGAACGCCACCTAGTAATAGTACATTTAACATAAACACACGAACACGGACACATACTATTTACAAAAATGAATGCGCGGCCGGCCATAAGTACCGCGGTGACGGACACGATGCAACTAACCAAAATAAGCTATAACGAGTTTTCTATTTTTTATGTTGTGATTAATCTATTAAATTTTATTTTAATACATTTTATATCGGTACATAACAACATATGCAAATTACATTCTAGAATTAAATACCCACAACAAAATGTTCACAAAAAATCAAAATTCCAAAAAGTAGGCCTATACAGGGTGATTGATATAAGTGTGCCAGCCGTTTTATTCGAAAACTATAAGAGATATCAAAAAAAGTTAATTAGTAAGTGCCTTGGATTTTTTATTAAAAAAATTATAGTCAAGCCAAAAAAATTATTTTAGCCGCCATTTTTCCAATATGGCCGCCAACTTTGATTTTTCTTATGGAACACCCTGTATTTTATGATGTATTCTAGTAGAAAAAGTAATTTTAAGACAATTTTATTCTTGTGATTTTTTTCATAAACCTAACCGTTTCAAAGATAATAATGGTTTAAGTTGTGAAATTTTGAATGGTTTTCGAGCAAAGCAGCTGGCATGCTTGCTTAGGCCTTTATCGAAACTCTTTCTCATGCAGAAATTTCAAAATTTTAACCATTATTATCTTTAAAACGGTTAGGTTTACGAAAAAAATTACAAGAGTAAAATCGTCTTAAAATTACTTTTTCTACCAGAATACATCATAAAATACAGGGTGTTCCGTGAGAAAAATCAAAGTTTGCGGCCATATTGGAAAAATGGCGGCTAAAATATTTTTTTTTGTTTTCTAAATAAAAAATACAAGGCACTTACCATTTAACTTTTTTTGATATCTCTTATAGTTTTCGAATAAAACGGCTGGCACACTTATATCAATCACCCTGTATATAGTTAAACAAATTATAATATAACGAAGTATCAAATACAATCAAAAAATTACCGTCTTTAGTCAAACATAACAACACTATCACTTTGAAATGAAAGTAATTACAAAATAACATAGTTATATCAAAACAAGAACTTTTTCACTAGCTATATGCGTTACCAATACGTACAATTGAATTAACTAGGACCATTAAGCATACAGTGGGTCGATTTACCCACCAATCGTCCATGGTAAACAAAGAGTTAGGAATTAATTAAGGCTCTATGAGGCGTGCAAGGCCGGACGTTTCGGACCACGGATCTCTCGTCGTCATCAGGCGCAACCAACACTACAAGGAGACCCTGTGACTTTGAAACTGAGGTTTATTATGTAAAATATAGGCCACGAACCGGCCAACGTGGTCAAGGCTTA